CACAGTCACACGTGTGGGAACAGCCACGAGTCAGAGTCAGCTCGAAGGCAACTGGTATGAACTGAGCTCAAAGATAAGTCATTACTTAGATGCTAAACCAGCAAAGGTGGAAAGGCAGGGTCACAGTGCAGCTTTCATGAGCTGGAGTCACTTTGCCTCTATGGGCCCCTTTCTCCACACACACAAAGAATAATATTAAAAATTCTATTGGTATAAGCACAATTATGATCTCAGCTGAGTAGATTTGCCTTTTTTCTAATGAATTTAAGAGAAATTAAAACGCTGTTGTGAGACCACGATGGATGCCATGGACCCTGATGAATGCCAGCCCTAGAGAAAGGTTTGTCCAGGCTTCCATCATGGATAGAAGATATTGGGGGCAATAGGGAGTCCACTATCCTCAAAGCTGCTTCTCTTCTCTTTCATTTTCAGCAAAGAGCACCAGATCTTAAATGCCAGCAATAGTGAGGACAACGTGCAAAGGGAGGGTTTAAAATATCAACTCAAGTGACTTTTGGAGGCACTCTTCATCCTTATTGGCAGAGCAGATGATTTAGAAATAGGAGACAATCCACCCAGGTTTAGCCTGAGCCACTGCCTGTCTCTGGCCAGCTCTGTCTGCTTAGCAAGAGAAGGCAGGTTGGTAGAGGGAAAGGTCTTTTCCCTAGAATGTCCTAAAAAAAAGAGTGTGTCCAAAGCCCAAGATGAACCATGGCATGGGCCAATCTATTGGAGAAGCTATTGGCAGGAGATTACAAAAGCCAGTGTGTGTGTGTGTGTGTGTGGGGGGGTGGTATTTGATTCTTGTAGATGCATCATGGCCACCTGTGGAAGGGAAGGGATCTACTCCCAGAAAACCAGGTATTGAAACCCCTATGGAGCACAGTTCTGCTCTGACACACGAGGTCACCATGGACCAGCATCAGCTAAATGGTGTTGCTATGGCCTGGTATGATTCCATGAACTGGGCTCATCGTTTCAGAAGCATTAATAGTAGAGGGACCGCCTGGCGACTGTAGAAGGGAAGCTGAGGTCAGGGAAGCACAGGGTTGAGGGTGTCTGGGGAGAGAAGGGGGCTTTTACCAAGAAGACACTGAGGGAGATCCCAGATATTCCTGAGAGGCAGAGAATCCCTTGTTCCAGGGTCAGAGTATAGAGCTCATTATCAGGTCCGGATTGAGGCAAGTGAGGGCCCTAAACATTGATAGTCTGTGGGACCCCCTCCTGTGCATACATATTCTTATGGAATTTGTGGGTTATATGCGTGTGTGTGTGTGCGCTTGTGTGCCTTAGTGATCCATAATGTAACCTCTTTTTAAATGTGACTATAATATTAGCGATTGAAGGCAAAAGTGATGTACGTCATTTTAGCCCAATGAGATGACCTGGATTATAAAATTTTCAGGATGGAAGGTACTAAGATTTTACTATGTATCACTTATTTCTACAAAAAGAACATTCCACATATTCTACAACAAAGAAAATGAGTCAGTGAGCTTGGTTGATTTCAACAATCAGTGTAAAAGTCTGTTGATCTTCCACAACGAAAAATTAACTTTCACCAAATTTGCTTTAAATGAGTCATACTTCAATTTTGTTGCTTGTTTCATAATAGATGCTATGATTATAATTGAATAAGTGAGTAACATTAAGCACTGTGTCCCTAACAGCAGACGATAAAAATCGAGACTCACTTGATACATAAATTAAAACTTTTGATGTTAGATAAATATTCATTTTTTCCAGTAATTTTTGGACATTTGCTATGTTAGTATTATATTAAATTATTAAACATATTCATATCATATTAAATGTATGCTAGATTGTATCCATATGTATGTCAAACATATTTTAAATTTAAAGCTATCTGTTGTTGTTGTTGTGTGCCGTTGAGTCAGCCCTGACTCATAGCGACCCCTCCTTGGGTTTCTGAGGCAGTATCACTATGGAAGTAGATTGCCCAACCTTCCTTCTGAGGAATGGCTAGTGGATTTGAACCGCCAGCCTTCTGGTTAGCAGTCAAGTGCCTTAGGCACTATACTACCAGAGCTCCTATTTTAAGCTATAAGCATTATTATTTATAAAACCTAAGAAATAACTCTGTATGTAATGCTACAGAGTTGAAAAGTAACTTGGTTGAATTCATTGCAATGACTGACTTCTTCAAGTTCCCTTGCTTTTGTGTGTCATTGGACTGAAGTTCCCATTGGTTGTTTACAAGGATGTATGCAGAAACATACCTCTGTGTTTGTATCATGGAGAGAGCATTGCTGGCCCTCCTGGCTGGAACTTCTGGATGTACAATCAGTTCCCTCAGAATGGACCAGAGATCTGTTATCTATTAATATAACCCATCCTTCCTTAGCAACCATTCATGTTGGATCCAGCTGCATATTGGGTGAACAGAGCAAGAGTTAGACTCAGCAACCCACCCCCACCTCTTGTTTATTAGAAAGAAGCAGTTTGCTCCCAGGAGGCCTGCTTAGATAAGGAGTTTCAATTACATGGGAGGGAAAAATAGATGAGAGGTATCAAGAAAGGTGTGGAAGTGTAGGGGCCTCACAGCTTAAACAGCTTTGTGAGGGGTGCCCTCATGACTCTACATGGACTTTATTTCTGGCTGGCACATTCTCATGCACTGGAGCTTGCATCAGTTTCATTCAGTGCCCTGCCAGTTCCCTTCCACTGAGGCATTTGCTTTTCCTTGGGTCCTGTTTGCTTGGCATCTATGGGTGTTTTCTTTGGACCACTGGCATACCTGTTCTGTTGATGCCCTAAGCTCATGCTTACCCTCCTCATTGAGTAATCTGTCCCTGTTCATCATATTCCAGACCAGTTGGCAATTCTTGGAGGTCAGCCACCAATCATACTTGCATGGCCTCTCCTCAAAGTGGATGCTGGGAAGCCATTGATGAACTAGCTTATCAATCATCAGAAAGGACCATCATGCCAAAGCCAGGTGAGTGACCGGGGGGCTCCAGGGCAAGGACAGAAATGATTCTTTTTCCTACTTGGATCCCCCATCAAACTTTAACAACTTTGAGGGCAATGCTAAAGCGTCTTGGTTTTTCTAGCCCATACATCATTGACAGAAAAAGTCAAACACTAACTCATGAAACTGTTCATCCCATTTTGGGAATGATGTCATTTTTAGGCAGTCCCAGCACGGTGCAAATGATTTCTGCTCAATTATTAACCTAAAGGTTAGCAGTTCAAACCCATCCAGTGAAACCATTGGTATAAAGGTCTGGCTATCTACTTCATAGAGATTAAAAAAAACCACTGTCATCAAATTGATTCCAATGCACAGTGACCCCCATTGGGTTTCCAAGGCTGTAAATCTTTATGGAAGTAGATTGTCTCATCTTTCTCCCACAGAGAAGCTGGTGGGTTTGAACCACCTACCTTGTGGTTAGCAACAAAATGCCTCACCCACTATACCACCAGAGCTCCTCATAAAGATTATAGCCAAGAAAACGCTGTAGTCTGTAACACTTGAGGTCGCTAAGACTGCCTCTTGGTCTATGTACAGGTTCCTCAAGAGCACAATTAAGTGTTCCAGAATTCCATTCTTCACCATAATATCCATAATTTGTTATGATCCACACAGTCTAATGCTTTTGCATAGTCCATAAAACACAAGTAAACATCTTTCTGATATTCTTTGCTTTCAGGCAAAATCCATCTGACATCAGCAATGATATCCCTCATTCCATTTCTTCTTCTGAATCCAGCTTGAATTTCTGATAGTTCCCTATCTATGTACTGCTGCAACCATTTTTTGAATTTTACTTCAACAAAATTTTACTTCCATGTGATATTAAAGATATTGTTCAATAATTTCCACATTCTGTTTCCTTCTCTCATCTTAGAATTTAGAAACAGATTTTCCTTGTGGTCTTGGAATTAATTTTTATCCAGCTTCATCATTTCTTGTCATCTTCATATCCCAAGGTCTCCCAACTTCATATCCAAGTCTCTTTGGAATTCCACCTCCGTTTTGGCCCTAGGGCACCTGGATGGACACATTCCATCTTGTGCTCTCTAGCTTAGGGATAGACGGGCTAACTATAAGTCTTGGTGGGTAGTGCTTGCCTGGAGGGTGAAGGCAAGACAAAAACGGAACATCAGGGTGGTGCTCCTTATCTCCTGACTAGAGCAGACATAATAAATCAACCATGGTATTTCTTCCTACAGAGACTGGCTGTGGTTCATCATCCTTCTCAAAACTCCAGGCAGCCATGACCAAGCCATTGCAGTTGGCATGTGTCTTAGTTCCCTAGCACTGCTATAACAGAAATACCACAAGTGGGGTCTTTAACAAACAGAAATTTATTTTCACAGAGTTCAGGGGGCCAACTCTAAGGGAAGGGTTGCTCTGTCCACTGCAGGGAAATCATTGTCTCTTTCAGCTTCTCTTCCTCAGTTCCTTGGCAATCTCCATGTGGAATCAAACTTTCTCCATTAGTACTTCCTTACTTCTGTGTCTAATCTGTTCTTTTTAGATCTCAAAAGTGATTTTCATAAGATACACCCTACACTGATATGACTTCATTAACATAACAAAGAAACACTATTCCCAAATGGGATTTCATCCATAGTTATAGAGGTTAGGATTTACAACACATTTCTTGAGAAGTACAATTGAATCATAACAGTATGTGAAATGAAACTCACCTATCATCTCCACTGAGAATCTTCACCAAAGGTCCTGTTCTTTCTGCAGATAAATGATGCCTCTCGGAGAATGAGGAAAGCAAATCAGTCGATAATCTCAGACTTTATTCTTGTGGGGCTCTT